ACTGAGCCACAATCCCAGCCCCCTCAATCAACTCTTAACAGCCTATTCCTTTGGCTTACTTGGAGTTGTTTCCTTAACAGCTTTTATGGAAGCAGCAAAACTCCTGGAATTATGGTTTCCCAAGCTTTAGTAGGTTAACAACTGTCTTAATTGATGCAGGGAAACCACTGCCATTGGGGCCCCAGGGAATGGAGTCACTTATGTTTTTTGTAACACGGCTTACTAGACCTTATAAATTCCTAAGGTATAGGAAATTGAGCCATGCCCATGACAACAAGATCTTGGGGGTGGCAGTAACAAGATAGAGAGCTGAAGTCTCTAAATGAGTGAGTGCTTAAAACCCAGACCTCAAGTGCTACCCTTGGACTGTAATGGGAGAGAGAAACTTCTGCTTTTTCCAGGCACTGAATTATTTATTGTCCCTCTTTGCTGACCATCTAGATTTACTCTATCCAGTACAGAAACGGGCACTTAGAACTGGGATAATTTCATCAAGTGTGTGTATGTGTGTGTGTGTGTGTGTGCACATGCACACACACACCAGATACTGTATTTTGGTGAGTTGGGGTTGTTTTTGTGGTAGGTCAGAATATTTTCATAACTGGATAGGCATCTACAATACCTTAGAAGGCAGACCCAAGCTGATATACTCTTGGGGAAGCAACTGGAAAGAGCCAGAATTTTAGGGCATTGGTTCTTGGGGATGGTGGCTGATTTTTGCAGGCACAGTGGCCCTCCCACCTGCATCCTCATGCCTCAGTCATTCAATGTACATGGCCCATTTCCATCTATCAATAGTACCATCTGGGGGGCTGGGGATGTAGCTCAAGCGGTAGCGCGCTCACCTGGCATGCATGCGGCCCGGGTTCGATCCTCAGCACCACATACAAACAAAGATGTTGTGTCCGCCAAAAACTAAAAAAAAATAAATATTAAAAAATCTCTCTCTCTCTCTCTCTCTCTCTCTTTAAAAAAAAAATAGTACCATCTGCCCTTTGGGTGCTGGGAGAAGGCACTGCAGGCCCAGGATTGGAGGAGAGTTTCCTATTGAATCGACTAGATGAGAAGGAAAGTGTGGGAAGGCAGAGCACAGGCTTGGGCTCAGGTGTCTGGCTTTGAATCCTCCTGTCATCACTGGCTCCGTCACCTGGAGCAAATTATTCGAATTCTCTGAGCAGGAGTCTCTTCATTTAATGAGGAGAGGATACTAACAGCCCGAACCTCAAAGAAATGTTCTAAGAGTTGAACTAAATAATCCACGCCAAGTGCCCTTAAACACTGAGAGCTATTATTGGTAGAAACATGCAGGTGTCCCCTGCCATCTGGCCACAATGGTCAGCTTTCCATTGAAATGTCAGTGAAGTGCCACATTTGACAACAGGTTACTTTGCACAAAGCAACAGGTAGGATTGTACACAGGGTAGTTTTGCTGCAGTGTTTGAGGGACTCTGTATACATCTCCATGGATTCCTGTCTAGTGGAAAGTGAAACTCGTCCTTGAACCCCCAAGGAGGGCCCATGACCATGGAAGCTGTTTTACCTGAGGGAGCACTGCCACCTTGTGGCCATATTTCATACTTGCAGGCACAGATGGGCATCTTGAAGTCAACTGAAAATTGAGGAACGGCAACTTTCCCCTATGGGTGAAGATGCTTCTGTAGCCTTCACCTTCATCTTGAGAAGCTCCTTCCTACATATCTCCTTGCAAGTTCCTGGAACATTGTGACCCTCCACTAAAGGGTTCTGAAACCTCTCTGGCTTTTAGTAAAAGCACATGGATTCCTCTATGTCTGGAATAATATATATTTTTATGGGTCCAATAGTGAGAGGAAATTTGAGAATATCTGGGCCATTCAAACCAGCTGTTTCTTTGCACGAGCTCAGTATGCTTGCTGCACCATGAATGCCAATCAGTCAAGAGGCACAGCGATGGGAAGGAAAGAATTTTATTAAGTTAAGCTAAGTGGAAGATGTCAGGGATTCTTTTACCTAAGGAACCATCTTGCAGGGGTGGTTTATATAGGAGATAGGTGATGGCAGATTCGCAGACGCCTTCTCACAGGTGGAGATTTGTGGTCAGATGATGCACCACTGATCCTAATGGCCTAATCAAGAGATGATTTCCAGTTCTACCATTCTCAAAAACAAAGGTCACTATTTGCTTGGGCTATTGTTGTCACTGCTTAGTTGGCCCGCCAGGCAGTTCCTAACTTACACAATGGACAGGGTAAAAGGGGTAGCTGCCCTGAGGCCTTCTTGCTGACCACAAAACCCGGTAATGAAAGAAAACATACTTCACCTGGTGATTGTGAAAGACACGAGCCAAAGTTAAACAAAGAGGCATGAGATCTCGGTGCTCGGCCTCTTAACTTGCTATCGACTCCTTATGTTAAGTCCAAATTTACACTTTTGTCATCACTGTGCACCATCAAAATTTCTGATGATCAAATGAATCCCTTGATCGGGACCTGAAATTAAACTCCGAACAGATGTAAATTTTGTTTTCTTTCCTATTAATCTGCCTAGCCCCTGTCAGAGGGCCTCACCAGATAATCGGAGTTGAAGTGGTGCTTAACCAAAACCCACAAAGTGGTGAACTGATGTGCTGGGCAAGCGCACAAAGCTCCCACAAACAGCGCGAACACCCAGAACCATATGCACCTGCGGCAAGAATCTGTTTCCCAGGCGTGTGTGTGTGTGTGTGTGTTGTTAGGGATTGAACCCAGGGCCTCGGGCATGCTAGGAAAGCAACTGTACCACCAAGCCACATCTCCAACTTCACCCTCTAGTTTTCAAACATTAAGGGGTAGGACCACACTTATTCATGTCTTGAGAATCACTCTGGACCATTGATTCCCAAAATGAGTTCTCTGGGCCAGTGGGAGCAGCATCTCCAGGGAACTCTGTTGAAAATTCTTGGGCTGCTCTTCAGACCCACTGAATCAGAGATTCAGGGGAAGGGCCCCAACTGGGTGTAATGAGCCTTCCAGCTGACATGGGCCCCACTCAAATCTGAGGACCACGGCTCCCAACAGGCACATTGATGGTACCTGCTAGAGAACACTGAAGAGTTAGAATGTTCTGAAAGTAAATGGGCAGAGAAAAAAATAGATTTGCAATTTCATTCCAGTGGTTCAGAGTCCATCCTCTGTGAATTTCAGAAGTTTGAAGAGCTCTCCTATCACAGTTAGTGGGCTTTGAGATCATTTTTTTCTTGGTACAAGAAATCTGCACTGTGCAAACATTCTTCTTCCTCCCCTATAGAGAAGGCAGGATACTTTTAGAAATCGCCAGTGTGGCATCACCAGGTATCTCCTGGGACCCTGTTCTTTCCTTTGGCATCATCTCCTACGTTTAGAACCTTCCAAGTTCTACTTTTCAGTTCCCCCATATTCTCTGTGTCCCCAGCAGCCCAATTATGAATTCTGGGTGGGTTCTGTACAGGGAGGGGTGTGCTCCAAGGTCACTTCATCACCTTACATGTGCCATGATGATCGCCATCTTGCCACCATCAAAACATGGAGATGAACCTGGGGTAAGGGGCATAGACCCCGACCCTTCCCACTGAGCCTCTATCACAGACCCCCACAAGCTTGCATACCCGCCTTTGGCCTAGGGAAGTCTTGATGCCTTGACATGGGAGGGTCGTGATGAGAACCTGCTTAGTAAGAATCCCAAAAGACTTGCATCCAGTCTACCCCAGACTCGGCATCCCTTCTCCATCAGTTGAGAAAACTGGCCTGTCACAGCCTGACCGCCCAGTGCCTCCACCCACCAAATGGCAGTTCCTTGACTGACTCGGCTCTGCCTAAGGCCGCCAAATCTGGGACTGTCTCCATAGCCCCTGGTTCCTAGAGGGTGCCCCACAGAGGTGCTTCCTTCCTTATTAGTGGGTGGACTGGAGGCCATAAACTGTTGACATGAAAGGCAATGTTTTCCTCCAGTTAAAGGTACGTGGTGTCCTTGGCCCTTTTCCCCAAACTCGTACTCTGGGTTCCTTTATTTCCCTACTCCTCCCTTAAGCCCCCACTCTTTTTTGGCTGGAGCTTTATTGTGGTATCATTTGCATAATACAGTTTGCCCGTTTCAAATATACTATTCAATGATTTTGTCAATTTGGAGTTACGCAACCATCACCACAATTTTAATTTTAATGCATTTCTGTATTTCTGTCACACAATCATTTGATTCCTCTTCGGCAACAGTAGGAATGCCAAGGCCATCTTCTCTTACCATTTCCAGGGAGAGATGATCCCGAAGAGAGGAGCCCAGAGAAAGTTCATCCAAAGGAAGAAACTTCTTTGCTGCTCCTCTGCAAACTCCACTCCTCCGAATTTTCACACCAAACCTGAGCCTGGAGGGCCAGCAGGAGGAGACGTTGCCAGCCCATCCAGAGCTCACGCAGGTCTGCTCCGGCTTCATATGTGAAAGTGCCATCGTGTGCTTCTGGGGGATTGGGGTGCGGGGGTTAAGAGCAACACTCAAGTCAGGATGCCCAGGTTCAAATTCAAATGTTGCCGTCAACGAGCTACATGGCATCAACAAACTAACCTACCAGAGCCTCAGTTCCCTCACATGCAAAATGGAAACCAAAACAGTGCAACCCATGAGGTTCTTACAAGAGATACAGTGGCCAGGCACATAACCCACGCCTATAAATCCAGCAGTTAGGAGGATCAAGTTCAAGGCCAGCCACAGCAACTTATGGAGACCCTGTCTCAAAATAAAAAATAAGGGTTGAGCTGAGGGTGTTTCTCAGTGGTAGGGTGCCCCCTGATTCACTCCTAGTAGGAGACAGAAAGGGGGGGGTGCGGGCAGTGCCAAAATCTGGTTGCCACCGACCATCTTGTATATTGAGAAGGGGCTTTGGGGACAGTCTGCTACAATGGCATTCCTTTGTCCCATCCGTGCTGCAACAGAAGCAGGGGCCAAGGGCATAGGCATGTACTCAAGGTTAGGCTAGTCTTCCCAACTCCCCTCAGTTAAACAAGTAGCCATCCTTTATAAAAACACAACACACATCGGGTTTTTAATGAGAAAATAACTGTATACTTGCATTGAATGCCTCACAATCACTATAAAACTGAAGCAGGATAATAACATCGAAGTGGTTAACATACACAGGAAAGCCAGATACAGAGTATAATTTTCAAACACAGTATTGCTGCTTTTTTCCCCTCCTCCATAAAAAAAAAGAAAATGTCATCTGGATAAAGAGCAACACAATCAAAATTGGCAGCTCACTGAATGCTAAAAATTCAGGAAATTGATTCTGTAACTAAAACTGGATATAGTCACCTTCTCTAATACTTAGGCTATTTTTTTTCCAATACATAGTTTAATTAAATCCATTCTTCATTTGGAAAAAAAAAATGTTTGTCTTCAGCGACAAGAGTCAACACTGCTTTAGTGTTTCTTGTTATGAGTGTGTGTGTGTGTGTGTGTGTGTGTGTGGACACTGATATAGATACTGCTTCTATGTCATCGCCTAGGGTGGGCAGCATGCATGGGTAATTGCATTGTCATCCAAGTAGAATTCAACCAACCTCTGTCACTGACAGACCCTGTTTCCATAATTTCTGGATGAGAGAACCAAGGCGTGTCAGTGGTTAATCGGCTCTGGAAGAAACTGAACATCCATAAACACTGCAGCAAGGAATACTTCTGGGAAGGCTCTAACGTTTGCAAAATCTCAACATTTGTTCTAGTCGACATTAACAAGCTTGTGTGCTATTGAAGGGTGAGGCCGAGAGCTTCCTGAGCCTCTTTCTCCCAGTGGATTAGGCAGGAATGACTTTTCTCCAGGGGTCTGTTCCATCTTCAGGAAGCTACAGGGGTTCATGTGGGATCCCAGAGCACAGTGCTGTGTCCATGGCGCAAACATGGGGTGGCAGTGAGGGGGAATGTTTCTTGAATGAATAATAAAAAAAAAAAAACAAGAGCACAGACAAAACCTGGCTCTACCCCAGTGAACCGTAATTTACATTTTTAATAGGAATGCAATGGGATTGTCAGTGAGTAGAGCAAGGAAATAGCAGTCATCCAGAAGGCAATTTGGGGGAACTAGTAAAAGTTGGAGATGTAGGGGACACAGTAAAAACAGGTCCGTGACTGGGAGAAACAGTCACAGAAATCACATTTATTTCCTCATCTATTCGTGGAGTGTGGCCCAAGGGATCCTGGCTCTAGAGCAATCAATGCCTCTTGTTCAATCAAGGTTGCTTTGAAAGTGATTCCATGAACTGGGTGGCTTCCTAACGTTCCTCCCGGCCCCAGCTCTTCTCCATTGCAGCTGTCCCGTGGGTACAAGATCCCCTTCCAGACAGAACAAAAGCTTAAGGTAAGTGGTGAAAATGGTTCCCTCTTGTGAAAAAATGGGGGGAGTTAGTCAATAGCATGTCTGTGCTCTCTAAGAGTTCCATGTCTGTCCCAAAGCATGAAGCACAGTGTATTTCCTGAGCAACCCATAAATGTAGCCTACTGGCCACCATCCTGACTGCCACTGTGCTTGGGGCCACAGGTGCTGATGCCTCCTCTGCTCTTCTGCATGTGTCTCCTTAGAGAACGCCCCTCCCATTCGGTCCTCAGCCCAGAAATCCTTAGACAAATGGTGGTCCTCCTTCCTGGGCGCTCCCATTCCAATGGGGCAGGACCTCTGCTCTAACATGGAGGTCACCTTCCTGGGAATACCTGGCTCCATGCCAGCCTCTGCCACTATAAAATGAACTCCTGTATCAGGGGTCTTATTTGTTCAGTGTCCCCCAATGGCTAGCACTTGGCTGAACATTCAGGAGAATGAACCATCCCAACTGCCAAATGCCCACATGCAAGGTTGGCTACAATCTGCAGAATGTGGGTGCATATGACAGGTACCAGAGGCACTTTGAAAGGATCTTTAGGGGTTATTGGCCAGTTCCATCTTTTTACTTTATGCCCACCATTTGTGAATAAACTTTCCCTCAAAGTCAACACTAGCAAAGATAAAAAAGCAAAGATAATGTGGGTAACACTACATACGGGTTTTGTGGAATTGCTACTTATGAGAATAACATATCAGAGCTTATGACATAACAATATTAAAACAAAAAAAAAGAATTTTAATGAGATCTAATTTAATTATTGCTTTAAAAAATAGTTTTAAAACAAAGGAAAAATAACGAAGGCTGGTTAGTTATTTTTCTCATGGCCAGAAACAGAACATTTTCTCATCCAGAAATTTAGGGCACCCAATTACTGAATGCCCTTATCATATTGCTTTAAATGACAGAAAACAGTAAAGCTAGCATCCTCTAGTGTATACTAAGCATGAATCCAAAGCATGGGAATAAATAGGATACGTTCCTAAATGTCAAATTACAAAACTACTCAAAACTCTGCAATTGTGATTCATGCAAATACCATGTTAGGTCAATTTAATATTACAAATACTGCATCAGCTCGGTGCCTTTATATCCCTTTTCATAAAAAAGAAATTCTCACTCACTCCTGATGCTGGCTAACAGCTTTGGAGGAAATAACTGTACACTCAGGTGTCGTGAGCAATTGAAATTTAACACACACACACACACACCCGTGAACATACACTCGTTACACAAACACACAAAGGTGTACACACACACACCCCCCCCCATCTTTAGGATTTGTAGTTGATTCCAAGCCTGTACTTAAAATTTCTATTCTATATTTTTCTCTTTAGCATCCTGAAAAGCACTCAGCCAAAAAAATAATCTCTTTCACGTCCTTCTCCTCCCTCTCCCTCCTCCCTCGTTCTCTCCCTACCTTCATTGACTTTAATGTTTCCTTTCTATTGACCCCAAACATCCCTTCCTTCTTCCTACTACCTCTAAGGCTCACTTTATAATACAAAATAGTTATAAACACTTTTATTTCTTGCCATCTACCTCTCTAAGGCAGAGTTTGACCTTTTTTTCCCCCCCAATTATTGCCATCTAAAAATACCCCTACCATCTTGAACCAAGCTGTTCAATGTGTACAGGTTTTATTCATGTTTATATTCCCCTATCCCATCATAAAAATAGTTGTTGCCCACTAAATATAGTTTTCACGTGAAGAAACGTAATTGTGAAAATGTGTTCTTCTAAACTACACATCAGTCAAGAGTATAAGCGGACAAGATCCTAAAGCTAAAATAATCCATTTGGTTTGGCTTTCTCACCCCACATTCCTCAACCTCCTAGTGTAGAAGAGATTGCATCTGCAACATGAAGATATATTGTCTTAAAAATATGGATTGTATGCATTGCAATCATTAATTGCTCCCAATTAAAAATAATCAAATGTAAGAGAAATATTATCATAACTGCCTCTTTGGGGCAACCACAGAGAGGAACACCATTCATTGTATGGCGGCTGGAGAAAATGGCGCCAATCCAACACCTTGGATGCCACGAGCAAGAGGTGGGAAGCCAGAGCAGAGAAATACCCTGTGCCACACAGATGGTAACAGCCTGGGCCCTACAGCTCACGAATGGACTTATCCTCACTGTCTGTCCTCATCACCCACCAAGGCTGGTCAAAGGTCTGCCCTCAGCAAATCTGTTGTTTTGCTTATAGTGTCTTTGTCTTTTTGGATCAATTGTGGACTGGTCCAAATCCAGAGGCTTCTTTAAGTCACAAAGAAATCCTTTCTCTTCTGACTCCTGGGTCTCAGAATTCGACGGGTGGACCCCCTTTTTGCTTTATTCTTCATCGTTGTGTGTTGCAGTTTCTGGTCTACAGAAGGATTGCTGAGTTTGTATGCACTTTAATAAATAGTCCATCAAAATGCTTTGATGTGATCATTTCTTGGTTTCTTGGTATCCCAAGCACCAAAGAAGTTTCCCGGGCCGAAGGAAGTTATTCATTGTCCTCTTCCTCCTGGTTGGCGTAGATCCCTGCCTCCCAGCGCAAGGCCAGTGCGCTCTTCCTTCGATTAACCCGTGTGGCCTCAAGGACCTGAAGAGAAAGGGAAAAAAATTACTCAGGGTTCATGATGCTAATTATGTACATGAGCCAACTTCCATTTCTTTCCTCTATTCTCCTCCTCAACAGCATCAACATGAATGAAAAGTAATGAAGTGTCTGGTACTGCAGTTGGTAGAGAGGTCAGGGAGGAAAGACTGGAACTGTGCCATCCAATATGGTGGCCACTGTTGCCACATCGCTACCAAGTACTTGAAACACATGCATGAGAAACTAAATATTTAACTTAATTTTACTATTTAACTTAATTTCAACTTACTTAAAATTTGTAAATAGCCCCTTTGGCTAATAACTATTATATTGGATGGCACAAGGATAGATCATAAATAGGCAGATCAGAAAGGAATCCCTAACTATTGGACCAGTGTGGATACAAGCCAAGCTTTGTGGATCTATGTAAGGTATGATCATATTTGTATCACACCAATCTACTCTGGCATAATTAAACACAAAGAATCAGTAACTGAAAAATATAGCTTTTGAGGGTCAACAGAAAGCAATCTCAGCATTTTGATGAAACTTCTTCAGGACCACGTGTACTAATAAAATCAAAGGTGACAACATCAAAGACAAGTGGGCTTGCCACCACTGAAATGGGTCCTCCTTCCCTCCTGTTCACTAGCACAATCTGTAAACTCCTGAGTGGAAGACTTTAGCCAAAATGTTCCAGCTGTAATTTTATTAAGATGAGGTGCAGATGAATGGCATTTAGGTGGCCAACACACGAGAAAAGGTCCTAGGTCTTGCAGTACAAGCAAGACCAATCATGCCAACCAATTACTCTGGCATTAGTTTAGGGTGCAGAGTTTCTGATTTTAAAGAAAAGTTCATTAGAGCCAGTACTGGTTGGTTTTCCAAACTGCAATGAAGGCTTTGATTATTCTAAAAATAATCATTTAGGCAGGGGACACAGATGTTGGCAACTCCAGAGAAGCAGGAGATGCAGGTTACAGGCAGGGCTGCTAAAATAGGCATAAGCAGATTCTGAGGAGACTAAAGGTCTGGGGGTCCATCTCAACCTGCTTTTCTGCATTTTTGTCCAATGAATGGAGCTTTGATGTGCTTTCCTCTGCAAAGCCCTCCCTACTCGCCCCCAGCAGGGAGAGCTGGGATGTACTCAGTCATGTCTGCTGAATGAATGATGCATTGTGAGGCACCTAAGCCATGTCATCAAGTGTCCTGTTGATAAGCACACTGAGGTTCCCTTATTATCTAAGAAAAACAAATTAAGAGAAATAATAGTTCTAGAACTGGTACAGTCTAGAGCATTTCTCTGGCCAATGTGGGATAACATGGAACTGAACCAGAACTGGACTGGGCCTGCAAGGCCTGGGCCCTGTTTTCAGTTCTGTCCATTGGCGATCTACATCTGCCCTACTTGGCAGACTTTCTCAGGAGGCAGTGTGAACTCTGGAGTCCAGGCAGGTCTCGGTTTAAATTCTAGTGACTGTGTGACCTTGGAAAAGTCACCCCTGCACCTCAGTGTCCCCATGTAAAATAGGATCATAAAACCCACAGTTGACCTGAGGAATAAATGAGGCAATGTATGTAAGGCATTTTAGCATGGTTCCACGTGAATAATAATTTAATGAGTAATAATAATGTTTAAAACGTAATAATAAGGTCTCAAAAATTATTTCTATCATCATGTGGAAGGATTTGTACTATATGAAGTGGAATATAAGCACAAAGCATCTATATAAGGGACTCTGTCTTGTGTAAAATGATCAACTGCCTTTTGGACTGCAATACAAGCTGACGTTGAAAGGTTTATTAAAAAAACTGGAAATAAATCCAAGGTTTTGAATATAAGAGTCCCCATCCTTTTCAAATGTTCCTTGTCATTTAAACCCTATTTTAATAATCAACTTGAGCAGATTTAGCTTGCCATGTTCTTCAGGAACTCATGCTATAATCTGTCTGCCCATTTACCTTACAAGCATTTACTGGGGTCCTACCTGTGGTTAGGCAGAGTGTTGGCATGTTGGGGACAGAACAGTCCCTTTCCTCATGGAGCTTAGTCACAAAAAAATGTGATGGGCAGACGTCAGTACTCCTAATTAGGGGAACATTTAACAGAGTTTGGGTTTGAACACCTACTGGTCAACTTACATCAGATGAGTTCTCCTTTCTTAATTCATTTCTCTTAATTTATATGACCATTTAACATGATCTGATTTTCTGATAAAATCTAAATCCCTTGGTAATAGCACAGACAAGACAATAAATGAATCACCATTGAAATAACTGAGACCTTAGCATAAAACCATCGTTGGGTTCATAGGCCCTGTGATCCAGGACTATGTTGGAGTAAAGCCATCCTACAATTGGCCTTTTAAGATTCAAAAGTCAAGTTCTTGGGGATGAGCACTTGCTCCTTAACTAAAACCCAGATCTGTGTGTGTGTGTGTGTGTGTGCACATATATATGTAAATCTCTAGCAAATTTAGTGTTATTACTTTAATTATTGCATATTTACTTTTATAATCTATCCTTTTCTGGGCTAAAAGCACATGCCTCTAGGACTATAATCGTAGCACACACATCATAAGTACTACAAACCAGTTACTGTTTTAATCCTCAGGACATTCTGTGAGATTCAGGCCATCATGACTCCCGTCTTACATGATGGAGACTGAAGCACAGGGAGGTCGAGTAATTTGCCCATTGTTGCCCAGTCAGTAGGAAGAAAAGCCAAGATTTGAACCCAGCAAACTCTAGGTGCAGAGTTGATGCTCAGAGCCATCAGGCTACATGGCCGTGAGAGCCTGGAGGGAGAAGCACCGGAAAAGAGCAACACACACTCTCCACAGAAATAAAGAGAGGAAAACAAAAAAACTAAAAAATAATTAATATGAAATAATACTCAGGGGCGGGGTTGTGGCTCAGTGGTAGAATGCTTGCCTAACACGTGTGAGGCACTGGGTTCGATCCTTAGCACCACATAAAAATAAATAAAATATAGGTATTGTGTCCACCTACAACTAAAATAATAATAATAATAATAATAATACCGAGACCTGATTTGCTTTTGTTTTCTCACGAATTAATTCAAATTCAGGATGATGATGTCGGGGGAGATCAATTCTCTCTGAGCAATCCTCTAACATTGTTTTTGTCTTTGTAATGTGTAGTGCACAGCTTAACTTCTATGGCAATCAGCATAGGACAATACTATACAGCAGTTTGGGGGGGATGTGAAGTAAAAGTTATGTTAATGAGTTACCCCTCTTAAATATTGATATTTTTTCCTCTTATTTTCCCTTCAGTAAAAGTTACACTGTGTCCAATTCTATCTTCCTCACATACATTTGACTGGATTGTCACTGTTCTAAACTATACTCACTGAAATAGGAGATGAGATTAGTGTCTAATTCTAAGTTGTCATTCCCTAGATGAGAACCACACTTGGACTATGAGGAAGGAACACAGAATGGTATTCTCAACATTCACTTTGTGTTATGAACAAAAATTGCAAATAATTGACAGCTCAAATCTATAGTTAAATATAATTATTTTGCTAAACAGTGAGATACATAGAGATATATACACATACATGCATGCATGTACACCTAAACATGCTTGATTGTTTAGAACATTGTTTAGGTGTACATAGACACATGGACTTGGCACAACTGATTTGAAGAATAATTTGCAATATTTAGGGAATGTAAGTACATAGTAGCCCTACACCCAGTTCTCTTACTAGGAAAATTGTTTTCCTAGGTGCATGGAGAAATGTGCAATAGCATTCAGTGAAGCATTGTTTATAATGACAAACAAAAATAGAAACTGGAAACAACCTGCATTTCCATCCATAGGAGTGAATAAATAGTGATATATTCATTGAATGGAATACTATACAGCAGATATACTGAATGCTCTAGAGCCACAGGTATTAACATGAGCATATCTAAAACCAATGCAGACTGAATAGTCAGCAGCAGAGGCTACCACCATATGACTTACCACTTATAGAAAGTTCAAAAACATGCAAAAAAAATAGGATATTGTTTTGGGTACATATATGTGTAGTATAAAAGCATGCATGAAAATAAATACCAATGCCAAGAACAGTTACCTCTCAGGAGAGAAAAGGTGTGACAAAGAGACTGAGCAATAAGAATTGGGAGAAGAAACAAGAGTGCTCGAGTTGTATTTGCAACATTAACTTCTTTTAAAAATATTTAGCAAGTGCTATGAAATAATAAGAATGGGCAAAGCTGGAGGAGTAGGTCTTATTATCAGATTGCATTTTATAATTGGGGACTTTGCATGCGGGCTCCACGACATCAGGAGCACAGAACAGTGCCTGGCACATGGTAGATCCTTAATAAATCGTAAACCAGGTGACTAAATGATGACTATATGAAAGACTCTCTTTAAAATAAAAATTAGTACAGAAATAAAAATATGAAAATACTGTCCTTCCTCATAGCAACAAAGAAAAATATGGTAAAACACAAATAAAAAAAAAATAGGAAAACATTGTGCTTTCTCATAGCACACATCTTTATAAAATCTGTGTAAGTTGGAGAGGAAAGAAAGAGACCTTTGGGAAGAAGCTTCCAAAACAAAAGTATAAATTGAAAGATCAGAAGGACGGGGTCATGGGGTTGGTTCATATTTGGAATAACTCATCCTGAATCCATGAAATGGGGGAGCTCTCTGGATTTGTGTTAAGGTAAGAGGGACCGGTTAGAATCAACAGCTCAATCTGCATGAGTTGTACTATTTTCTAAGCAGACCAGATTAGATTTGCTGCTCATGCCTAAGGAAACTAAAAGAAGCCAAACAGCCCATCATTTGTGCCCTCTAGTTCAAACGTCTTCCAGATCCACGGGTGGGCAAGGTCTTCTCCAACCTCACCGCACAGCACAGCACAGGGAATCATCGTTGCATGGACTCCAGCACCGTGAGGCAGTCCCCCAATTCAGAAAAGGCAGGAGGAAATCCACGTGGAGACAAGCTGTTTTTCTTGCCATTCTCATGTAACACATCAGGAAACGGCAAACCACAACAGCATGCACCTGCATCGAGCATGCACTGACACCAAGACAGACAAGTTGAAAAGTACCTCAGAGGTCACCTTGCAAGACAGTAACTTAGAGGTGTACTGGCAGGAAGGGAAAAGACCAGGGTTAGTACAAAGCAGACACTCACAGAGCACCCCACCGCTGGAACTCGTACCACGCCAGGGGAGGGCAGGAGGGGCAGTCACTCCAGGAGGCCACCACACACCCACGCCAAGACTTGCTTCATCTGATATTTGTTTATTTCGAAGTCTGTATCTCTTGGAGCAAGTAGATACCCTATTATCCTTTAATAAAAATATCAGATAAGCTGCACTTTGTTAATTCAAGATGTTGCTTTCAAATTTTCTGCACTTTGAATTAACGAGATTCCTTCCATTTTGGATTTGCCAGACTTCTGGAGCCAGCTTTTCAAAAACTCTTCCTGTAGGCTTCTCTGAACCTTGAGGTTCACTCAAAGAAGACCCTAATCTCTAAAGATTAGGTGACCATATACACAGCCACCCTCATCAGTACCCTGGAGTGGGGTGGTCCTGTGATCTCCAGTTAGGATGGTTACTTAGAATTAATACGAGCACTATAATACTAAAATAATCTTAGTTCTTCTAGAAGACTAAAAGTCCTCTGTAAAAATCCACGGGGTTGCGGGTCGAGTAGATCTAACTATGGGAAAGGAGACAAAAGAACCAATGTGGAACAGCCCCTTCCAGAATTGTGGCAATGAGCTTGCATCTACACTGCATAGGGCATCTGAGGAGTTGACTGGTTTGGGGTACTGTTAGTCATAGACTTAGTACCCCTGAGACTATGGGCTTACAAATCTGTGGGCATCAGCAATTTCTTACATGGAACACTAAAAAATTACAGTCCTGAAGTGGTCAGACTAAGGGCTGGGAGATGAGGAGCTCGGAGCTCTCCTCTCCTTTGCACCTTCCCTGTGGCATAACAGCCCTAGAACGAGATGGACAACGTGAAGCATCCTTGGTTGTGGCTGGGCTTCCTCTAGGGCCTGGGGAAGGGAGGGGCGCTGGGGCAGATGGGCTTCCTTCACCCACTCAGTGAGAGTACAGCGGCATCTCAATGCATGACTTCATTTAGAGGGAAAGTTGAGATGGGAATTCTTCTAGAGAATCAGGAAGTTCCAGACCCCAGTTTTGACACAGTCCAGGGAACTGATGAGTTCTCTTATTTGGAGACAGGCAAGGGTGGTTGCAAGAACTTTCAATAGTAACAGTGTCGGGGGCTGGGGATCTAACTCAGTTGATGGAGTGCTTGCCTTGCATGCACAGGGACCTGGGCTCAATCCCCAGCATCACCAAAAAAAAAAAAAAAAAGCCAGAGAGAGGGGAGGAAGGCCAGGAGAAAAGGGAGGGAGGGAGGGTGGGGAAGGGAGGGAGGGAGACGGAAAACCCTGCTGAGTAGATCCTGTGTTAGAAGTGAAGATGGGACTGAGCACACAGAAGGCTCAATATTCCTCATGCCCCTGAGCTGACTAAGGCCACCTCCCTTTAACTGGAAAAGGAGGAGGAATCTACCAACATGTTCAAGAGAACCAATGAACCCTCACCTTCCTAGGCTCAGGTCATGGTGTGGGAACAAAAGCATACTGTTTAACTAAATGCCGTCATTTAACTAAATGGCCTCGTGAATCCATTCCCTAAAGGGCTTCTTGAGGCCTGAAGGAAAGCAATCCAAATAGCTCCTGATTTGTGCCTGCCAGCCCTACAGTCCTCCAGATCTACAGTGGGCAAGGTCTCCTCCATCTCCACCTCAAGACAGCTCCTTTGCAAGGCACCAAGAAGCTCTTTAGAAAACAATGACTCATCAGTCCATTATGAGTTGCAGGACTGACCAGAGATGGCATCAGACTCAGAAAAAGGGCATTTCCAGTAAGATAACAATTCCGGAGAAGAGGAACCCGCAATTAAATTCAGGTGGCTACATCTGGGCCCACTGCAAAATTACCAGGTTAAAGGACTGAATGATTAAAAGGATGAACAGTGAGGTTGGGGCAGAGCTGCAGCCTCCCTGAGGAAACAGGGTCTTTTTCTAATACATGCAAGGATCTGTGTAGGCTGGTGAGCTGCCCTGGGTTTGGGGCAACCCTCCTTCCTCCTTCCTCAAAAAATTAGCCAAGGACTCTACTAATGAGTGGGCAGAAACATGGAGCATGGAGACACCCACTGATGTCCGTACAGAACAAGGAAGCACGTCCAGGTGGGTGAGGACTTTGACCACAAAGGGAGTGCCTTGCTCAGGTTCTAGTAGTAAGTACAGCCATCTGGGGATAACTTTTTTGGGCAATGTTCCATATGTCGCTGACCTTTTTTGCTCACCAACTGCAAAATGAGCAGGTTCCCTGAGCCTGGCCTGTCTTGTTTTTTTTTTTTTTTCATTAAGTGGGAAAACTGGAGACAGCAGGGCCCCCGCGCTGTGGACAGCTCCACATCCTGCCACTGCTCTGATGTGATTAGGGGGACCCTGGACCTGTTTTAAATGGCAACAGTTTTTCTCAGTTCTGATGGCAGAATTCTCTCAGGGAAACTGCAGGCTTGGTTCATGCGGGCTCCTTCTCTTTCTTCACGCTCTTTGCTATCAATGTGTCTGGAGTTAATCTCACCACAGACACGTCCCAGTTATATGTCATTTTTGCTTTTAGGTCTGCATTTTCCTTGAGAATGCAGACCAAGTAAGGATTCTTTTTATTCAATTTATAAATGACTTGCTACTTTCTAGGCTCAGGTTTTGATCCTGGGGGAGAACCCACAGGATCCTTAAAACGTGGTTTCAAATTTCCAAAAGGGCAGGCAGAAATGCTGCCAGGGGGCTTGTAGGAAGGAAATGTTGGCTGGTGAGATGCCAGGGCAGATGCTGTACGGCACTGGGTGACACTGGGGACATCAGCGTGAGCCACTTGAGGGTACACAATCTACAATGCCATTTTGCCCTGCTAACAGTGTATGTGCACGGAGCAAGAGAACAGAATTATTTTACTTTTAGAAGAACTGCCCTTAGCTTCTAGGATAGGAAGCCAGGCTACCAAGCAACCCACCTGCTCTCTGTTATGGTCCTTCTCATATAAGAGACAACTAAAGAAAAACGGAAAGGGGGCCACAGACCAGCTAGGGGGAAAACTTCAATGCATTTTCCGGTGACTCATATAGATACAACAGAAAAGATCCCCTAAACTGGCAGGGCTAATAGACATGCTAAGAGGTGGCTCAGAAATTTAGTCTGGCTGAAAATCATGTAATTGCTTTAGAAGCAATCTGAGTATATTTTTTTTGAGATTGGATCTCTGAAAAGAGGAGACACCAGGTTGAATAAGTTTTGTCCTATTCTTAGAATTTTCAAAAACACACTTGGTTTGATTGTAATGTCAGTTCTACTTCAAAACACTGGGCCTTGCGTCCAGGACCTGGAAATAGCAACAGCTTGATTTGTTTGTAGATTTCTTCCTTATCTGAAATGTTGATTTACTTGGGCAAAATAGAGATAGGAAGCTGCCTCTTCGCTGTGTAAGGGAAGGGCAATTAGAATATTAAAATGCTGACTCCATACTTTACTTTTGGCTTCATTAATGCCAAAAGGAAATCCAACCTGGCTGGCATTCATGAGGTGGCTGCCTGAGTATCAGAGCAGGTACGAAGGAGACTTCAGCCCTCTGCCTAGCAGATGACTAAGAATTGGCTCTTTCCTTCTGTGTACAGTGTTTCTTTTCTAATATCTATACTCCAACACAATAAGCACGTACAGGTCGCTACTAAAAGGGTCGATTTGTTCTTTCCCGTCCACATGGTAACATGAGGGACCCACTCGGCTGACCTTCACCAAAGTTGCTGATGTATGTTCTGGATACACTTTTCTGCACCACCTTTCAAAGCAGCCACAGACCACCAAAAATACCTAAATGTGAACTCTGTACCAAAACTGGGGCTGCAAAAAAGGGCTGGCTAAAGAGACTTAGTGGGCAGGAAATGTCCCACAGGCTCAGGAAGGAGCTGCTGCCTCCACCACAGTGAAGCCCAATAGGAATGTCCTTAGCAGACACCGCAGGCCAGGCCCCAAGCCACTGTGAAATTCAGAGAACAGACCATAGGCTCCCCCTGTGTGCGTTTTCTTCCTTTCTTTCTCACCACATATTCTGAAAGCAACTTTCAGTCCTGGCTTCTGTACCAGAAGTCCTTTAACCTGGGATGAGCCTGCCAGAGTTATGAAAAGTGTAAATCGGTGCGGACTTTCCCACTGTGAACCCCAGGGCACTCAAGTTTAAGGTGACCGGGTAGTTCATTATCTAAAGCAGGATACCTTTTAAAGGGAAAGGGGTGCTATTCATCATTATGATGCCCGAGACTCCTCGGGGATGGCGTGAAACCTTGAGGCTGATCCCAGGCTCCTTGGGACCGTATGGAACAACTCTGAAGTCTCTTGCAGGACAAAGAAACCAGAGTGGATGACTTCCTTCATAGTTCACTTGAAAGCCACATGCAAGGTTCTGGGGTCAGGGACAGGGTAGTCGCGTGGTTTTCAACTGTCATTTAAAATGGCTCTTTCTTGCCAAACTGCATAAGAGGCTAGGAAACAACCCAAAACACATATCTTCCCCCTTTTTTTTTTTTGGAGGGGGTGTGTGTGGGGCAACCGGGTTATTGAACTGAGGGGTGCTTTGTGCTTTACCACTGAGCAACGACTGCTGTCCTTTTTATTTTGAGATGGTGTTTCACTAAGTTGCTTAGGGCCTTGCTGAGTTGCTGGGACAAAATCATCCTGCCTCAGCCTCCAAATTTACTGGGATGACAGGAGTGTGTCACCGTTCCCAGCTCACCCTTGTCTTTTTGAGCACTGTGGAATATTTATAGTGATTGCTCGCAATGTAGATTTTGAAGAAGCAGCATTTCATAGTTCTCTAAAAACACAGAATGTGCACAAAGTAGGTCAAGCGGCTCCCTGGTGCTCACTCCTGCTCCCTGCCTGCAGCATCACCCGTGCGTGCGTGTTGTCTTTCCACACACCAAACATCTTGTGCACCACCCTTGCCAGCGGGCTCAAGCCATCCTTGGCCAGAAAAGGCCACTGTTTGGGACTCAAGGCAGAAACCCAAACCCAATCCACTCATGTTAAACCACACATTTGAAAATTGGTTTGGGAACCGCGATGCTATTCAGAGACAACTGTATACACATCCACACCTGAACTGGTACACCACACAGCACACAGACGGCCGCCCTCAGAAAGTGAAAGGAAAGGAGGAAAAACTTACACTACTATCATCCATTCTCTCGCGCCTTTTAGATTTGTGTGTCTCATAGTCTTCCATGAGGGTCTGCATCAGGTTCTTGGGCCGCTGGGTTCCGGCAGCCTCTTCGGGAGCTAAGTCAGGCTGCAAGCTGGGGCCTTCGGTTGTGGGGGATGGAGGAGGTCTGACTTTCTCTATTTTCCCTGAAACAATACGAAGAGAACACCCTTTCTAAGCTCATCTGCTCATGGCTGCTTTCAGAAAGAAGAGAAAACCGGCAAAAAGAAAAGGCAATTCTGACATCGAGGGCGCCCCCAGAATGAAGGTTAAGTGTGGGCCATTTAGTTACAGGGGACAAAACACTGCAAAGAATGTGCACACCCATCCATCAGAGACCTCAAAGACACTAGTTTTAAAAGGTTAGTTAGATCACACAGGCCTGGTGGGCATTTTGCAAATATGTTAGTCAGACCATCCTGGCCCTGGTTGCTATGGAGACGTGTATTCTATTACAGGTCAGAGGATGAGACCTGGAGGAGGTGGCACCTTGAAGCCTTTGAGGCCCTCAGAGAAAATCTGAGGTTCTGCAGTATTAAGGCTGTGCAGAGGTCACAGGGGTGACCAGGGGTGGAACCTGGCCTTCCTGGTGTCCTCTATGTCAGAGGTGGCCAAGTGCCGGCTATTCTGCCTGGGGTTTTCTACATGGGCATCACAGTGTGGCAAACCCTTTGAACGAGACTGTGGCCATTCCTCCCAGGTCACTCCAGTCTTACATGGGTCAGCTTCATTCATTCATCTTACCTGCTGGGGTCCCGAAAGCATTTGAATTTGAGATCCTCCAAACCTTAAGGGACAAATGCCAGCGAAGGCAGTGTGTATGGTGGTGGGACGTGAGGGGCACGGGATATCCACCAGACGTGGAGTGGTGAGATTTTAGATCTGAGATGCTCTCCAGGAGTTCTCAGATAAGGAAATGAGGCCAGTGATGTGGAGACTCTGGACACTTTTGCTAAGACCATTTGCATTCATTCTTCTCTTGGGACAAGCCTGGGGCCCTGGCTTCTGGCCCATCAAAGAGTAGACTTTAGTGCCACTGAGACCCAGGTGCACCTCTGAGAAGGTGCAATGGCAATGGTTTTTTTTTACACAGGCCCTTTGAGGGTGACACAGCTGGGCTCTGCAAGAAGGAATGTGGAGAAAACAGAATAAATGGGTCCTTTCAAGCCCCAAAGTAGGTGGCACTGGGGGCACCAGCTGATCCACGTGAGGCTCTTAAAGGGTGCGAGAAGAAGCCACATTTAAGAAGCCACATTTTGTCCTCTGAATAGAGCCAGGGGAAGTTGAAGTCCCACGTGACCCCTTCTGGTCCCAAGCTTGGGGAAACTCCCTGCCTTCATCTCACATCCCAGACTCCTTACTTGGCCACCTGTCTGACATAGCAGGAGTCCCAAGTGTAGGCTGAGTCTGAGTCTCCATGCGGGTGGTTGTGGCCCCTTACCAGCACAGGCTCCTTCCGATGGACCTGGAAAGGCCTAGAGCTTGGAAGCTCCAGATTTTAATTCCTGCGCCCTCATTAACTGGTTACGTGATTGGCAATAGATCATGCTTTTAATGTTCCACTTTAATCTTCAGCCAATCACTTAAATTCTGAGCTTCCACTTCCACAGCTGCCAAATGAGTCTGGGAAGGAGCTGTCTTTGTGAGGTCTTCCAACTCAAATGTTATACTATTCCACTGAACACATTTGGCAAGCAGGGGAACCCTTATCAATATAAAAAAAAATAAGGCACATGGCCATCACATTTGTTGACTAGATGGGAAAGTAGTTTTGTTTGTTTGGGGCACTAGGGATTGAACCCAGGGGGCACTTCACCACTGAGTCATAGCTCCATCCCCCCGTCTCTCTCTTTTTTGGGGGGGTGGGGTGGGGAGAGGTACCAAAGATTGAACTCAGGGGCACTTGACCACTGAGCCACATCCTCAGCCCTATTTTATATTTTATTTAGAGACAGGGTCTCACTGAGTTGCTTAGCGCCTCACTTTTATGCTGGGGCTGACTTTGAACTCACGATCCTCCTGCCTCAGCCTTCCGAGCCACTGGGATTACAGGCGTGTGCCATGGTCAATTCACTAAGTTGCTTAGGGCCTTGTCAAGCTGCTGAGGCTGGTTTTGAACTTGAGGTCCTCCTGCCTCAGCCTCCCAAGCCACTGGGATTACGGGTGTGCTCCATGGCACCTGGAGGAAAGTAGTTTTTAACATACAAAAGAGGGATTCCACTTCACAGCCACAATTGCACTGATCAACTTAGTAAAAAGCATATGCAATGATCCAGATAATTTTAAAAACTCTTGATAACAACAATAACAAATATTTCAAAATCTCCAAATTCACAAGAAATCGTTTCTATTTTTTATTATAGAAGTTAGGAACTGCTAATAATGACTCCATAGGCATTTTTAAATAACCTACAATAAATATTTATCAAGATTTTACCACCTGTGGTCCTTCCTTCCTTCCACTTGTTGCATTTTTTAAAGAAATTCCAGACCTGGGGTCATTTTATCCCTGTACACTTAGCATACACCTCTAAAAATTACAACTGACTTTTAAATTGATGGCTTGAGAAGTGGTCCAGCACAGAGGTGAGCACACAGGTTTTGGAGCCCTCGTGCTGGAGTCTGAATCCACTACTTAGGTGCCAAGTAATTCTGGGCTGGCAACCCACTGTTTTTATACCTCAGTTTCCTCATCTGTAAAGCGGATATGATGACAGAAGTACCCGCCCTTAGTTGTTAGAAAGACTGAGTTAACATTTATAAAATTAGTATTTAGAACAGAAAGCATCCAATGAGTCCAGCTACCATTTAACCATTATCTCAAAGGATAATGTGACTCCAAGGGTGAGGACACACAGTTTCATGAGTATCCCGCAGCTCTTCCAGGACCAGAAATAGACACCAAGTTGCTTTGTTGTCATCTCCAGTTGTTGACCTCAAGTGTCCAGGTAATCTCCCATCGGCCACTCATCCGGCACTAAACGTCTAGAAGGCACAGTGGAAATCCACTGCCTCTAGCTGCTGCCTCTCGCACACCAGGCAGCAGGGCCCCCCAGCCTTGTAGAACTTGGTTTACCTCCTGTGACAGCCTTTTCACAAGCTGACTTGATTATTGAAGCATCTGTTACAAACTGCAAAAATGACCTGAGGATATGAACCGCTTCAACTATCAGTGAACCCCCCCAAGCATTTGAATGAAGACCCCCTTAGAGGAGGGCCTAGCTGGTCCTGGTCGCTGTGGTACATGGCACATGGCAGGAGCTGTGGTACATGGCACATGGCAGTTGACACGAGCTGATAAAACCAGTTAAGTCCACGAGGAAACACATGTACTAGCCGCTTAGCAAATGCTTATGGATTGGGACAGAACCTCCCACAAGGAATCAGAAGAAAGAGTTCAAATGCCTTCCCTGGAACACACGAGATCAAACATTCCACGGCCACAGAATCACACTCATGGCTCTGTGTGGCAATGACAATGGCATTTCACAGATGGCCTTCATATCACTGAATCCTTGTGTCCTACAATGTAGTTAGGGTGGATTTCCTGACACCTGGAAATGGCTTAGACCATGGAGGCCCAGAGGCTAACTCCTGCACAAGTGACAGTTGATAGTCACTATTATAGTCTGGTGGTTGGTAGCTGATCTCTAGGAGGAGATGAAGGCTGCAAGGAAGCTGTGGAGGAGGTGAAACGTGGCTACAGAGACGTGGTCAGCCTCGAGACAGTAAAGACACTTCCTGCTTATTTATTTCCTATCATTCCAGCAACTCAAAGCCCATCCCTGGAACCAGTGTTACCAGTGATAGCCACCAGAGGTCACAGGAAGGAAGGCTGGCTTAGTAGGCTGGAGCAGCTGCCCCCCAGAGGAAAGGTGGCTGACAACAACCTGAGAGAAGAGGCTTTGTTCAGATAACCAACCAAGATCATGTCATGGCCTCAGGCAGGTGGGGCTGTCACAGGTCCCCAGACAAAGGAGGTGCTGTGCTTCATCAGCAGGCGTCTGGTCAGTGTCAGGGGAAGCTGGCTTGGCCAGACTTTTCTGCTGGGCCCCGTAATCCCCCACTGTCTCAACGAGGATGGTGAGAAACTTCTGCTGCTCTTCCCCCAGCAGTGGACCCTGCAGACACCTCCACTGTTGGACCTCAGAGATCATCACAGGAATGTGAAGTGAATGGTCTGTGCTGCAGGCCTGCGAGGTCAGTCACATCCTTACCGGTGGCACCATGAGGCCCACTGAAGTTCTCTGGCCAAACAGTGAGTTATGCCCCAAACAGTGAGTTATCCCACAGTGAATCTCACAGCCCCTCTTTCTCCAGAGGTGCCTCCCTCCCAGCTTACCCCATCCAACCTGGCCCTGGCCGAGGTTTATCCACCTGCTGAGTGATTCAATAGCTGAAACACCTCCAAGTAGCCTCCAATTCAGCGATTCAGTTTCTCACCTGGACTTAACATTCCACAGAAGAGTTCTCCTGAAGGACCCCAGTCACTGTCCTGAGAAACAACAAGAACAGACTGTGCCATGCAGAGCCAAGGGCAGCCCTGGGTTGCTTTAGCCTGAAGAGGGGACCCAATGGTAACAGAGCAGGGGACAGGTGCAAGGTGACCTCTACATCCGCCATAGGGAAACAACAGAACAAAATCAGACTGAAATTCTGAGTGCAGAATAGGAAACATTTTTGAGTGTATTTCATAAACGTGATTTTTGTTCAAACTACTCCATCTACAGTGATATCAGACTTAGAGTTTTGCAGGTGTTTGAGGATAAGCAACTTGGCTCGGCTGGATTGATTTCAAAGCTGTTTCTAAACATGTGTCCTATTACCTTGGCTATGTGAGCTGGTACCCTCAATGCTGTAAACAAGCAAAACAACCCCCCCAAAAAGCATTGTAAAAATAAACTTGGATTTAAATAAGGAGAAAGGGGAGAGGAAGGCGAGGGGCAGAAAGGCAGAGAGACAGAGACGAAGGTCCTACGGGAAGACTTCTGGGTCTGGTCCTAACATAACCATGAATTGCTAATGCAAGAACAAAAATGCAGCATTTCTCAAATTTATTTAACCAGAGAAACTCACTTCATGGAATGCCTATTAAACTTTCAAGGAAGGCAGTTTAGGAAATATGCTTCTCTGATGTATAATACTG